ACTTTTCCTTGAATGTTGTAAATCAAGCAAGTAATCATGTGTCACACTTCACAAGAGCTAACTGGGTTTAGCAGAAGTTTGGAACACACTCCCACTTCAATAGATGGCTCTAAAGTTAACCTCAAAGACAACACTCATCTGTTCAGGGTCGGTAGGTATTTACAGGCCAAGAATAAAGAATATTTATTTTAAGCTATGTATGGTAAAAGGCTATTTGCTCTACAAAAAAAGGCAGCTCGTAAAAATGTCTGTGGCCTGGGCATTTGGGCACCCAAGCGTCAGGTATATAGTAACAGCTAAATTAAAGTTGACTTTCGATGATAAGCATCTTTAAAGCAGTAATCAGACTGAATTTTTTTATTACATGGAAGAGACACTGGCAATCAAGAAAACAATTTTATAGTATAATAATCAGTCTCTAATTATTAAGAACAATCTACAGCACTTGCTAGGTTCTCAGTAAACATTTGCTGAAGGTTAATATAGTTTCAATTTTATAATTTGGACTTTGAACAGAGAGGTCCTATTCCACTCAAAGTGAGTTTTTTGCTTATGCAAGTTGTGCCTTTTCTATTGTTAACTTACAATCAAAATATTTTTTGACCAAAAATAAACATCACTGAAGTAATCATTTAATTTGAGAAATTGTTGGTCCCCCCAATAGCTAAAGGATAATCATCCCGTGGAATTCAGCTCTGCAGCCTCTGTTGACAATGGCAATGAACATGTTCATAACAATAATAAGGGCTTGTTTTAATAGAACGTTCCACGCATTAAACACATTAATGACCCATGAAATAACTGTTTTATCTGTAACACATTAAGCAACATTGCTAAAACAATGTATTAATTGAAAGTCTGCTATTTCTCTTCATGTAAGATTTTTAAAAGTATAAAAATAGCATGAAAATCATTTTGTAAAAAACAAAAATAATTCAGCTTCAAAATGAGAGCCACACTAAATGACTGTATGAAAAATAAAAACTTCTAAAATAAACCTGGTAATTTTAGATGTGTTATTTTGATCTATTCCCATTTTTCTGATCAAAAATGATATCTGTCTGGATTATGACTTGAGTCTTACAAATATTTTAAAAGCTTATAATTGTCTTCTCTATGTGCCTATCTTCTATAGGACATTTTTCTCTTTCCTGAACAGGTATAGAGACTACCATACTCAAATACACCTCCCTTACTTACAGCTTGTTCAATTTCCTAATGCTATGTTTGATATTCCTAGAGTGCCAGTGTAGCATTTTCTATAAATGTGTGCTATCACAATTAAATCCAAAGCATTATCAAGACAGAAAATGTCGGTCCTCTAAACTTGAAATATAACGTATGAAGAAAAAGTAAGTGAATTATCAGTGTGTTTTATAAAGTCTCTTGTGGGGGGCATACAAAATATCAGACTAGAGACAATTATTTTACTGTGTTTCCTGGATATCAAAGAGAATTTTGAAATTCATCAAAGCTAACCTTCTGTTATGTACAACAGGCTAAGCTGAAAAGAATGTTAACAAGTTCAATTTTCATTCAATCAGCACTACTGCTCTCTGAAATGTTTCATTGCAGGAAAGAAATAAAAATAATCTATATGGTAATTATGAGGATGAATCCCCCAGTAACTTTCAGCTACATCAAAGGTCAGCTCTATTCAAGATATTTTATCAGTCCCCTGCACATACTCCTGTCCTGTCATTTTAAATCTGAACAGCATTTTATTTTCCCATTTACAGCTACCTGCAGAATTAAGTACTTAAGCCAAATAAGAAAAAAAAAAAAGAAATGTTGAATGCTGGCAAAGGCTATAATAGCATAGAGATAAATCGTTCAGCTGCTCTCTCTCAAGCCTCTAGGGCTGCAGATTTTTCTTCTCCTGGTGCACTGTGGGTATTCAAAACTTGTTCAACATGATTTCATTTCATTTCAGGCAGTGCCTGAGAAAACTAAATTACAGAATCAATCATACAGAAGGTCAGAGTGAGACTTCATTACAAGTATTGCATGCTTGCATGAATATCTTTCATTTATGACTGACCCAATATGTCACAATAGCTGTCTAGTAAAAATAATCCACTTTCTGAAATTGATGTACTACTGATGTCAATGCTACTCAGCAGGCTGGGCAGATTACAGAGAGGTGTTAAAAAAAAAAAACCTTTCAGAGCGCACGTTGTAGATTTTTAGAATTGCAATCTTTTGTAGATTAAAATAATTTCCAGATGATCATCTGAATTGACAACGATGCTTAGAGGTAAAGAATTTTTAACCAAAACAAAATACACTGTTGATTTCTTCTTGTCAACCACATCCTGTTTTAAAATATACGCATCCAGAGCAAGCAAATCAAGGTTGTTCTTTGAAGGCACAAATGCATCGACTTTCAATTTTTCAACAATTCGCTTTTGAATACCAGGGCATTATTTGCATATTTTGAAATGTGAATGCTAATCATTGGACTCTTTTTAATCCCCCCATTTTGTTCCCGCTTTCTGTTTTTAGATATAATGGCATAAATTTAAGGAAGATAAACTTGCTGTGTTTGTTGCCAACAAAAAATGCAGCTGATCAGGAATGTGACAAACTGTCACTCTTTCTAAAGGAAAACCAATGGAGCTCTGAAGAAAAGCTGGCTCGATACAACATAAACAAGCTGGCTTTTCTTCTTAGATGATCGTCTTAATTCACCACAGCAATTCTTAACAGACAGCCACATTCATTTGGATAATACAAGTTCTCACTTGCATAAGGTATGAAATATCCAGTGCACACTGGGAAGCCAAATGCATGATGTATAAAGTATTATTTACTATTTTTCTGGTGACCTTCCTAAGGGAAATCTCCGAGGAGCTGCTATGGAGCATTATGATGTAGCCAGCCAACTCGGCACCCGGAGGGAGATATAGAAGAACCTTGACACAACCTATTTCTAACCATGCCTCTGGCGATTCCGAATTCAAGTTTATAGGCGAACATGTCAGGTAATACATAGAACAAAGCCAACGACACATTGTATTCGTCATAATTCTGTCCTAGTACATTTTATTTTTTCCAACATTTGTGATTTAAAATCCCATGACATTTCTTCAAGGTGAAATTCTACTAGAATTTTCAACAAGATTAGTTTGTTTCAAGCCAAAATAAATATCATTCCGGTTCAGCAAAACATCAGAAAGGCACCAATAAATGTGATGACGTCCATGTAAACACCATGACAACAGCCGGCACTTAGCTGGAGTACTTATACTTTTAAAAATCAATGAAATAATTCAACTGCTTTAGTGATTAGCAATACATTACAAAAGAAGCATTAAAAATTGAGTCCTCTCTCCCAACGCCAGTCGGTGAAAGCATTGTTCTTTAAGTGTATGTGAATATCATAATTATTTTATGATTCCATCTTTAGTTCTTTCCAATATAGTAAATTCAATTGACCATGAAATGAAATTTCATAGTCAAAATGCCTCCTTTACACTTTTTTATAGCAGCAATAACAGTTTTATAGCTTTAAGGCAAGGTAATTCATCAGATGTTTAATTTAAAGGCAGATTCTTATATTATTAATAAATATTTACCAATTTAATAAAGTACACATTTTAGCACACATTATATGGTCTTTTAACTATTTCCACAACTTAAATGAGCCTCGCTGAGCATCTACGAGTAATGGTGAACCCTGGTAAACTCCCTTGGTGGCTAAACACACTTTTTATTTTTATTATTTTCCAGACACAACATTGCAAGCCTGATTGTAGAAGAACAGAGGACAGAACCCTCCATTCTGGTGTCAAAGGGACAAAAATGTAAGAAAGTCCATAGGAAACAATTATTTGTGATGGCGAGGAACGTTTATGAATACTTAATGACCATTTCCCGACTGTTCACTGCATTCTTTTCTGACAAAAAAGTAAAAATAAAAACCCTGATGTTCAGCTCAAACACAAAAGATCACAGGCAAAGAAAATTACGGTGCCACAATCCTATTTGGGGAAGTAATCTTGTATTTCAGAGAGTACACAGAATCTTTGCACCACTAATCCACTACCTATTTTGCAATCATCTGTTGTTACCTGGGGAATTAACAATGAAACCAATAAACATCACTGGCATGGTCCTAATGTGCAGAGAAACATGTAAACAAGCAATAGGATTTGTTTTTTGTTATACCAACACATCTGTTTCATTTTATCAGGGTTAAAAAAAAAAAAAAGCCCTATAAACTATTAATCTTGTTTTAAAATGTCTGTTTAGTATCTCACCTAGATAGACACAAATGCATTATATACGATGGTGGAAAAAAACAATCCCAGCAGAAGAGTTTAAAATGCTTAAGCAGATTTACTCTAGTGATTGCTGACTATAATTGCACACTAAGAAAAATAGAACCAAAATTATTGCATTAGTAATCTTGGCTCTCTGGAGTGCCTTATTCGATGTTTACAACAATAAATAACACAATTAGGTATATTTCACACAATAACGCGCTCTATATTTTCCTCTGCTGGTTATAAGCAATTATTCTTTTTCCCTTTCTCTGTATCACAGTTTGATGTTTCATTTGAGGCAGGAGCAAATCATGTATCGTACACATTATGTTATAATCCAACAAATGCAAAAGACCTAGACACCTGATAAGGGCTTCCATGTCTAAAATCTCTCCTGGGCAAACTTTTAACTCAAGCACACCTCTTTGTTAAACCAAAGGCAAGGGAAGCTTGGCTGCTTCCAAACCAATGATTTCTTAAAAACCATTTCAGATCAGAAGGATTTTGTTGGGTCATCCTCTTTCATGTGACTGTCAACCAACCCAACACCCTCTTGTCCAGACCAGGGATTGATCCAGTACCTGTGTTTAAATGGCACTAGGAAGAATAAACCACACATCCACCAGAGGACAGGCAAGAGCATGTTTCAGAATGTGGACTCTCAGATCTTTACCATGCGAAGTGCAAATGATAAAAAAAAAAACACTTTCAAGCAATAAATTTGGTGCCTACCATATGCAACCCACTGCTATGAAGCACGCCATCTTGTTCCACGAGATTTCTTGAGATTGTAATGGAAGGAAGATCCAGGCTTTGAGGGGGAAACTGGGGTGTGAATTCACTTCCCTGGGAAGGCAACGGGTCGCTGAGGCCTTGAAAGGGTAGAAGCACATCGGGCATGCCCAGGGCGGGGTCTGACTCTGGAGGAGGCGTGATCGGGGGAATTTCAAACTCCTCATCCCCAAGACTTGGCGTATGAAATGTCTGCTAAAAGGAAACAAAATATAGATATCTTCACATTCTGTTCCTATATCTTATTTCTCCTTGGAAGGAAAAAAAAAGATTTTGCGTGAAAACACTACATAGCTAGGCCAAATATTTATTTCTCAAATAAAACATCTTAAACACAGATTTCCATATATAAAGTTTTGCTGATCATTCTGATTAAAGATTTAAGTCTCATTATCATATGGTTTTAAGGGAGTATCAGTATTAACAGTTTTTTAATGCGTACTTAATTAGCAACATCTGTCTTTGTTGTTAGTTGGAGCATCAGCAACATTAGATTTGGCTATATAACAAATTGCCACTTTATTGATATGTTAGTGAAACAGCTCAAACCGCTTACATTATCCACATGCTTCATAAAATGCTGACGATTTTGTGGTGCACACACAACATTAATCCAGAAGTGAAGAGTACACGTATTTACTTTCTGCCACAACATATAATACAAGTAATATTAAATTTGTGGTTTGCTTTTTTAATTTCCTTATTCGTATATTCCCAAGAGCAATGAACGCTTCTATGGAAATTGTTACTGTTTGTAATATAACATTTTAGATAAGGATTATCAGAGCATATATTAAAAGGTTCCAGTGCTTTTATTTAAACTATAAGGAGAGTTATTTTCTTTTATACGAAGATTTTGATATGTATTTATCCGATCATTTTCTACCAGTCTTTAACTTTTAAAGAGGATCTATAGAATGAGCATAGAGATATATTGATACAGATGTACTAACTCTATTGATGTTGCTTACTTAGTTACCTAGACAAGTGTTATTTCTCAAGACCTAAGTAAATAATGCACTGCTTCTTCCCTGCTACGTAGATTCTTAAAGATAGTGTTTTAAATAGAGCCTTTTGATGTAAATCAGGGCCGCCTTGCTCAACTACACTAACCATCTTTCTTAAAATAGAACTTGGATTTTGTGGGATGGGGGGGTCAAGGTCTAGGATATTATGGTTGGTAGGGTGAAGGGGTTGGGTGGCCACTCAGATATTTTTTATTCCTAGCTCAGAGGGTCAAAGTTATAGTTGATTTATTATTAATAGTATTTTTTGAAGAACGAGTTGGTGCAAGATAATTTGAATCTGCTATAATTGGTTAAGAGAATTAATTAAGAGCTGAAAAATCATCATTCTTCAAACTATCAATGATGATATAACTTAATAACCACTTGAGAGAAAATGGAAACAAACTCAAGGTAAAAAAAAAACCATTTCTTGCACCTAGAACCTGTCAACTATTATTTGCATCTCACCAGAAATAAAGAGGTCACAAGATATGGGAGTCTATAATGGGACAATTAAACATGTTAAGTTTCTTAGCAGATTCAATATATGCAAAACATTATAGCATAATAAGAAATTTGAAAGCTAGAATGAAATATTAGAGTTTCTGACATTTATTCTAATAATGATCCCTCCAAAAAGATGTCAATTTCTTACTCTGGTACCCCGAGTTCTCAAACACAAAGGGAGGAATTGGCCACGAACGTGGTTGGCTAATGAACGTAACCCTATGGCTGCATTTGCCGTTACTTTGGCACTAATGTGGTCTAGTAACAGATGCAACTGTAATTTGTGACTCATTTGCTACCCCATTACTGCTTAATGAAATCTAACATATCACATTAACAATACGGATAAACACTCATTCTTGATATGTGGCATTTGGCTGTTTTCATTACCACTGTAATTAACACTTGAAATATTATTTCAATAAATATTTAAAGTACTTTAAAAATGGTCAGGGTAATCATGACACAGACAGAAAACATAAAGCAAATGTGTGAATTTCAAACTCAGAGTATCCTAGTCCCTACAGCGTTATCCACAAGGCAATATCCACGTGAAGGGAACTGGTTTCAGGCACAATTTCAACTCCACAGCATCAAACCTCAAGACTTCCTGAATTAGTTTGCACTCATTAAAATGTTAAAAAACCAAATAAATTTACTTTTAATGCAGTGATTGGGAAATTAGGTACATGCTATAATGTAGTGCATTAACATTTACTTGGGCTTTATTTTTTGTTCAAGAAAAGGTGTACAGTGAAATCATTATACAAGATTACGTCTTAAACTCTAACATAAAGCCTGTCTTATGCTAGGCAGTGAAAATTAGGGAGGTTTTCATTTTTATTTTTGCTAAGGAATGGAAAGAGATGTCTTATATATGATATGTCCCTACAGTATAATTTTTTAAAAGATAAATTAATTTTAAGTTAGAATTTAGTATAATACTATATCATAACCTAATAAAATCTAATAAAATACAATAAAATTATATTATAATATATAACTAAGAAAATACTAAAACCTTAAACCACTTTTAAAGAGAGGTAATATATTAAATATAAAGTTAATGATTCCTTAAAGAGTAACCAAAACACTGGTTATCTGAGATTATAAAAATAACCATATAAGATATCACCAAAAAAAAGACATTGATTTTTACAACTATGCCATATGACCAATATCAGATTAATCATTTAGAGTTTATATGATTACTTTTTACAGATATTGACTTTTCAGTGTTTACCTTGAACACGTTAAAGTAGTATGTACATAGTTAAATACCATCTGTACTGAAATGCTCAAAACATTTGTTCCTTTTGATAAAAATGCAAATCTGGAGAACTGTTGTATCAACATATAACAGCCAATGTCTGACACGGTGAATTATCACAGCTGGAATTAAATTGTCTCTGAACAGCTGCTGGCAGTAGAGCTTTCATCAATGTTTGATTCAAATGTAGGGAAAAAAATCCTACAGAATGAAACATCATGTTGTCCTTACAGATGGGGTTTGTGTTCATTATCACAAATAACACAGCAGCCAGCGCCAAACAATATTCCCTTATCTAGGCTGTCTTCTTGGTTAGAGAGATGATGGTCACTGTAAAAATGATTAATCTACGAACACCCGTAATTCTTGATTCCTCATTTTTTCTAGCAATTTCTCAAAGTTAATTTCTTTCATACCACTTGCTTCCCTGTACCAAGATCATTTACGAAGCCATTATGATGTTCATTCTCTAGGGTCAAGCTAGTTCAGTTTCCTATATTTGAATGTATTTGGAAAATGAAGACTTTCTATCACAGGAACCACAAGAGGAAATGTTCCATTTGGACCAATTTCACTTCTGTTTGTTCTTGTTTTAAAATCTTAAATCTCACACAGTCTATCATTTTTAGGAAACTATTTTCTTGATCTAATCAAGATTGAGGTTTTTCTGGAGGGCAGGCCAACGAGACCACACAACAGCCCTAAGTCAATAAGTAGGGATGGAGCATGCCCATTCATTCATTCATTCAATATTTATTGAGCACTCACTATGTGCCAGGCACTGTACTAGGCTGTGGGGAATCCAGTGAACAACAAAATACTCATTTCATATCACTCCCACTGACGACCCACGAAACTGTAATACTGTTCTGCCACATTGTTTCCCAAACCATGGCAACTTAATAAAATCATCCCCAGAGCTATGTGAAGTTAAAATACTTTCTATTAAAAGTCACCTCCATCCTAGTTTCCAAAATAACTACATATCTGCTTAGACACCAACACAGTTAAGATAGATAGATAGATTTTATATACTTTCTTATACATTTACTTTCATTTGCATACGTTATTTCTTTTCATCAAGAGATGTGTGTGAATTACTAACATTCATAACAGCCTATGGACAAGTGAGAAAGGCTTTTCAGGTTATTTTCTTTTCCAATAGGTTTTTCCTATTTCTCCTCCAAAGTCGTTACCTTGTGCCACATAAGAGAGAGATAAATTCGATACTTTGCTTTTCCCTTCAAGCCTTTTAAATGATCTAAGTAACACACAAAACATGAACAGACACATGACAGACACCTACCTCACTGGCTGCAAAGAAAGCGTTGTTTGCCTCAGCCATATTCATGTAGTTATTGTTATTTCCAAACTGAAAGAAAGCAGATTGTTTTATGTTAATATGCCGCATAATAAAGAATTCTGGTGGTTTACTTAATACTCAGATGGGATTTGGAAAGAATGCTGGTGTTATGAGATAAAAGGATGATTTGACTCAGACCAAATGCGAACTGTGACAGAGTTTTCAAAGCACTATACTATATACCGTAGGCAGTTTCCCTCAGAAAATAAAGCACGGAGTTACGCTAACTCGATAATTCTAGAAAATAGGTGTTGTTTCTCATCAAGACTCATAGAGAAGGCAGACAATTACAAACATTTGGCCAACTGGTCACTAGTTTTTATTGAACTGGCATTTGTCAGGTTAGAAGGAAAAGAGTTTCCAAGAAAATCACCTTGACACATTTTTAAAGCATATTGGGATTTCATAGCTTACTTTTCAAGAACAGATGTCACAAGTGTGGGTTGGTTAAAATGTGAATTAAAGGGAATAGAATTCAATTCCCAAGACTCAGATTCTATTTTCTAGTGAATGGGGTGTGGCGTGAAATTAAATAAATAATAAGACTAAAGAATATTTTCAAAATCCCCAAACAGAGTTTCAAACGATATCTATATCCATCATAGCTGTTGAAAACAGTGATATTTAATCTCTCAATGTAACATTAAGTGCAAAGAGGTTTAAAAAATAAGCAGGATCCTATGAACACAGCAATTTTTATTTAATTCCCTAACACAATAGCCCATTCATACCACCACAAATAAGACTGTATCAGCATTTCAGACATAAGCTCTTTACTTCTAGAGACCTGTTATCAAAATGTAAAACTTGGATTTTGGCAGAAATGTATTTTCAGGTTCAGATGGTATAAGTAGGCACGTTTTGTTGCTTTAAACATTCTGTTATCAGTCCGGCAATATGGAAAGGCTCTGTGAGCATAAGTATCTGGAGCTATATTATTTTCATGATTTTTAAAAGGTAAAAGAATGCTCTCCTTCTATAAAGTGTATTATTTTCTTCCTTTAATGCATCAAATAACACATAGGTTTGGTCTCCAAAGGGTGAAATGTATATATCCATTCTCTAACATAAATAGAGCTTGTAATTATCTAAAGTAAAAGGCACAATTTTCCAAAGGGGAGAGAGAAAAAATAGATACAGATACACAGATAAATATACAGAATAAATCTAGATATAAACACATAGATATGGAAGACCCACATAATCCTCCTCTCAATAAACCCACGAACACTTATTTCTGGGGAGCTCTCAAGGCCTGACTCTCAACCTGTAGGATTCATGCACAGAAGCAGGATTGACATGCTACACTTTATCATGTCAGGGATCCAGGAACTAAGCAGGATTTATATGAAATGCTCTCATGGTTCCAGAGTGCTGTTAAGGTCTACAGAAGCAAAATCCCACCCTGTAAAGCAACACCGAAATACATACTGACACAATGAGCCCTCAGATTCATTTGGATAAATATCTTTATAAGGATTTCTGAAAGATGTATTTGTTAGCGCTTAAGAAAGACCTCTATCTGGTTTCTCTGAAGGCATGCGATACCGAAAACACGCGGTGATGGTTTCACAAATGTATACTTATCTCCAAACTCATCAAGTTGTGTATGTTAAAGATGCACAGTTTTTTGTATGTCCATCATACCTCAATAAAGTGGTTTAAAAATAATTTAAACCTTAAAAAACACACATGTGAGCAGGTGCACACACACACACACACAAACTTATTTTCCCCATTTTTCTACAATGTTAAACATATGCAAGAAAAAGTATGGGTTTTTGTCTTGGAATTCGTCATGAATTAATGATCCTAGAATTAAAATCTCAAGCCTCCATTCCGCATGTTCTTGTCAGGTATTTATGAGAACTTGGGTCACCATGTGTATTCCAGGCACCAATCCTGGCTCCCCCAAGCCTGCATCGCTGTACCGTTATTTAAATGTAGGTTTTGTTGGGGAATTAGAAATCCATTTAAGGCAAACAGCTCATTATCAGAGAGTATTTTTTTAAGATTAAACTCACCTATTATCTAATAGCACCTAAAACAACAAAGAAAAAGAAAATGGCTATTAAACCGAGGGCCTAAACAATTCAAAAAACAAATTAAGCTTAGAGTGAAATAAGAACTGGGTTAGAAATCCTCTTCTGAACAGTTAGTATGCGAATGTAATTACTGAAGAAACTACAGCTAATCAGCTGTGAATTGTATCCATTAATTAGTATTTGCCCTGGAGAAATGAGAAAAATCAGAAAGGACGCTGGCCCTGCGGAGCGCTAAGGACCCAGGCGCCGGCCGCCCTGCGTTTAGTCAAGCAGGGGGCTCCAGTGGTCCACGTAATTTGAAAAGCTCTCACCTGAAGGACTGAGCTAGAATTACAAAGCACTCCTTGCCTATCTTTTGTGTCTACATAAGGCCTTAATTAATGGCTTTTAATTTGGAAACACTCGGCTATCAGGTGGGAACAGTTATAAATCATTTCAAATAGAAGCAAAGGTTTCTATTCTGTTTTGGGCAAAATAGCTCCTCTACAAAGATGGCATCAAACGTGGACTTGTTGCAGGCAACTGTCTTTCTCCTGCACAGGTGGCTGGGCCCCTGGTTTAGTGTGGAATAATAGTTAGATAAAATACAGGACGCCCAGTTAAATTTGACTTTCAAATAAACAACATTTTTTTTTTTTAGTATAAGTATGTCTTATGCACTTTTTGGGATATACTTATACTAAAAAAAGTATTCTTTATTTATCTCCAATTCAAATTTAACTGGGTGTTGTGTATTTTTATTTGCTAAATCTGGCCACCTGCTGTGGGTAGTTAACCTGATCAGGAAGCAAGACTATCACTTTCCATTTGATTAACCTTACATAGTAATGCTAGCTTTATTTTATTTTAAAATGTGACCTAGGAATCCTGCTTTACTTGTTTTGTGTAAGAACAGATCCAATTCTGCAAGAAAAAGTGATCCTTTGGGGCAGACCTCTGATATAATGACCTCAGAACAATTAACTTGAACCAAATTGTGTAAAATTAAATTTACGTTCTAAGAGACAGTGACATTGGTAAACACATTATGGGTAAACTCCCCAGGTCCACGAAGGAAGCGGCCTTAACTATATTCACCACTGTCTCCCCCAGAACAAACAACAATGCCTGACATGTTATAAGCATTGAAGAGAGGGAGGGAGGGAGAAAGGCTGATCTCATTTTAACTTCAGTGTCTCATAATCACCCATCCTAACTGGAGTAATTTTCTCACTTTTTTTAATGATGCTATTGACAATAATAACAATAAGTATTTACCCAGTGAAGCCCTCTACAAACAGTATTTCATCTAACTTTCCTAAGTGAGACTTAATGTAATTTATTTGCTCAACAACCAGTTAGATAAATGTAAGTACTAGCCCTATTTTATAGATTAACAGACTGAGGTTTCCAGGGGTCAAGCACTGGCCCAAGATCACCGATTCAAACATGGAAGTCTGGCATCCTTCCGGCCTCATGATCTGTTATCACTTACATTCTAATATCCACAGAAACTCGAATATTGTTGATCTTACTCAAAACTAGAATTTCCCAGAGGATATTTCAAGGTACCTAACTCTAATAAAATGCTCCTCAAGAAAAGGGTTCCATGGCCCAGTACGTTTGGGAAAGGCTGCAGACCACTGCCCTCTCTTTGAGGAGTCACAGTGCTCACTATAAACTTAAAGGCTCTGAGAAGCCCTGCAGTTCATTCATTCAGCAGATTTTTATGTGCCTACATGCAAGGCACTGTGCTACACACTGGAGACAAAATGGGGAACAAGATGACAAGGTTCCTACTTGAATGGAGCGTACATTTTTCTGTAAATGGGAGCCAGTAACCTCCCCCGCCCCAAAATTGCTATGGAACACTTCCTTTTGTTTCCCCCACAACACCCTGCAGGAACACACTTTTGGAAACCTTGTTCCAAACTTCTTATTGACCATATTCTTTTATTCTCCCTGAATCCTTCTTCTAAAAGTTAATATCCTAATTTTGCACCATAGTAAAGTCTCTGCATTTGTGAATCAACTAAATAAGCATTTCTAAACTATACATCCTAAATCGCCTTAATTTGTCCTATTTCCAAACTTTCTAGATGGTAACTCTCCATTAATGTTCCTTCGAAGGTCCCCTCCTCAACCACAGAAGGTTCTTCTATGCGATTTCAAGAGGCAAAACAAAAAAGCACTTCAAATAAACTAAATGAACATCAGGTGAAACAGAGCGTTAACTACTCTGAAGAGCATATAAAAACATGATGAAAGACACAGGCCAATTCCAACTGTTTTCAAGAGCTTATCTATGTGGGGAAATGGCCACCACGAGGCAGGGGCATTTAGGAGGTGCGCTGCTGCTGATCGGTCCTTTCCACTTTGATAGACTCTAATAGATGTGATCTCCAAAGATATAATCCCCAAAGATATAATTATAAAGCAGAACTAAATTACTCTGCGTGTCGAACTTCTGTATCTTAATAATTTCACAAAAGAACATCTTCATTGTACTTGGAGGTAGATTTGCTTTTGCTGCTTGATGAGTAATTATAGCTTCGGCAAACACAATTTATGAAGGACATCAATTAAAAAGGAGCATTGCAGGATTTAAAAAAAAATTTATTAAAGACCATCGTGTTCGTGGCCCGTCGAACCGTGTGAAGTGGCAAAGTAAATTAATGGAGATTGTTAAGTCTAGCTTGTCTGGCGAAAGGCTTGGGAGAAAGTGGAACAGCAGAGACAATAACCCATCTGTAATCACAAGACGAATGCTTCAGCTTGATGAGTCCACACACATCCTTTTCACTGAAATTATTTTGACACCCATGTGAAGAATTGTATAGGCTCCTAATAAAGCAGCATTAACTACAAGGTATCAAACAGCTAAATGGCACAAATTTAATCCTAAAAAAAAAAAGATAATCCTTCGAATTCTCTTTTCTTTTTTCCCATTAGATTTGTTAGCAGACACCATCCAATTTGATGCCTCAGTAAGGACATCTGTC